AGGTGAGCTCAAGAGCCTTTTGCTCCCACTAGGTGGCCCAACAGAAGGTCTAGGGGAATTGGGAATAAAGACACCAATCATCCCATTCAGTGAAAGGTTCCTTACTCTAATATCGGACCTAGCTTGATATGCCAGTGCCCGCTCACAGTTTTTTCTGCCGTTGTTGCCTCGGCGGGTTTACACGACACAAAGGGAGACCTTGGCGGTGTCCATCTCTGAATCAAAGTTTCTGCTATGATGGTGAGGTCTAGAAGATTCGATGCACTTTCGCAATGCTATATGTCTGCTTTTGGACTCTTCGGAAGTTTTTGTTTTCAATAAATCGAGAACCTACTTACTATGCTAATGAGCTAGTGGCTAGAATTACCCACGAAGCCTCCGGAGCCTCATAGATCTCATGAATCGGTCTAAATGATTGCCGAAATCCGATTCTGTATGCTTTCGGAGGTTTTTATTTTTAATACATCGAGAACCTAGTTACTATGCTAATGAGCTAGTGGCTAGAATTACCCATGAAGCCTCCGGAGCCTCATAGATCTCATGAATCGGTCTAAATGATTGCCGAAATCCGATTCCGAGCATTTCCGGCGGTGGTCGGTATGTTCTAAGAAGCCTCAACAATCCGTAATGTAACCGCCTAATCCGCTGTCATCGTTCGCCAATGTTGATCGTGTCCTAGGACATATAGAATTACGGTAGCTGCGTTTCTCGATGACAGTCCAACGCGGCCAGTTATTACATGAATGGCTATGGCATCACGTCGCTATGCGGTGAAGCCGGTTTTTTGCATCGGGCCCACGAAAAACTCGCCCAATGTGTGCGTTCTCGAGTTTTTCCACCTACCAAAGGCTAGTAGTGTCGTATACCACTGAATGAGGTCGTATAAATTCGAAGGGAAGCTGGTTTGAAGATCGTAATTAGCTTCAGGTCGAATCACTTTCTTACATGATATCGTTTAAATGGATTACAATCAGGCGAACACCTATCACTACCGGTTTGGTTTTATGAGCTGGTCAAGCTTGAATTTATCTATTAGTCCAGCGCATGCGCGAAGATATGAAGAAACCACGCGAACATGGTAGTCGCAGCAGCGTATTGGTCTTTTGGGTGGTCAAGTGCTGTTGTTGTGAAGACGGCATTTTCATTATATTACTAAACAGGAAACTATTAGATTGTACTGGAAACCTTGAGATCAGTTTGTCCTGAAATAGATAATAACAAAGTGTATGTTCTGATCAAATGAAGGGCAGAATCGAACGGAATTTTTTCCTCTGCTGCACTCTGTAAATACTGGGCGAAAAAAATGCTTCTTTGACTTGAAGCTTGCTGACCTTCTACTTTTTCTCCACGACGGCATTGTGGCTGCCCGGCTGCCGCTGTACTATTTTGATGTGGCACGCGAGCAGTTGAAGTCTTCAAATTTTGCTTTACAATGGTAGGCTCAAATGCGACGCGATTTCGCTAGCCGCTGACGACAGTTGTCTAAGTTAGACGAATTTATTCGCGCTCAACACTTGACTAATTAATCGCTCTATGCTGCTGAGAAACGGAGACCTCTGGGAGAGGGTTCGTACACTGGAAGTTTATGGTGTAACCTCCGAGATGTCGGGTTGGACGTCAAACAAGACGACTGAATAAACGAAACACAGTATGAACGAGGAAATCGGGAAACAGTTGCCGGGCGGACCAATAAAGTTCAGAGACCTCAGAAATCGTTGCGTTCACGATGATTGATGTGAATGAAATGATTTCTGGGGTTTGAGGGTGGGGTGGATATTGGAGTTGTTTTCCAAAAAATTCCCGTTTCGGAAGGTGTACATACTGCTCTCTCGGGGAAAGGGTTTTTCTGTTTCACAGTATGCGTTATTCATCTTTCATGGATACTTGACAGGAAGTTCAGCTTTGAAGTGGAGTACATCATCACCGACCTGATCGTAACGATATATTGGCCAGATGTGAGTATAATTGAAGTAGCTCACTTCTGGTGGCTAGTATCTGGTGTTCACTCAGTACTAGGCTTAGCCTGATTCGATTTGAACATTCCCACACGGATCGGTATTCAGATCGAATTAACGACAGCACTCTTCTTAAGTGGAATATGTGTAGTCGTTAGCAATGCTAATGTTATCGTTGGGCTTAGTGACTAAGATTGCTTGCGTCTGGGTGTTGAATCGTCTTGAAACTTCATTAGCATAGCCACATCTGCGCACATTAGCAGCGTCTTTGGAAATATGGAGCCAAAACGAATTAATCATTCTCCGTTCCATGGCACGAGGCATTCATAAATGCGATGAGTTCCGGGGAGATGAGCGGTTTAGAACCGGGGAATCTGAAGCGCTGCGGGAAAAACCAGCAAGGGCATTCAGCCCGCAATGATGAGAAGCATTTTTTGAGTTTCCTCTGGAAATGGATTCTGGGGTTCTCTTATTCCATGTAGCCATGAATAGCTGTGGAAAGCTGGACTGTAGTGTAGGGGCTCCACTGTCCATTGAAAATTGGAACGTGAAGTATTTATGCGAACCAGTTATCGCCCCTCTACTCTAGTCATGTGTTAGAAAATGAGCTTTCAAGATGTTTAGGCTTAACAAAAACTACCATTGGTTCAGTAAAACGCCCTTCAGAGGTTGGTAGGCTCCTGAAGATTAGGTATCGTAGGAATAAAAAACACCTCCGCCGGAGGAGGGGTTCGGGGTTTCAAAAAAGCTGGCGCGGAACTGCTTAACTGGGGTTTTTTTCTTCGTAGAACTGGAATTGGTTTCACCACGATTTTTTCTTTCTGATTTCTCGATATTCCTGAATGGGAAGCCCCCAACCGTTTTCTTACTATCAAGTCGCTGATTCTTTGAGAATCACTTGCATGTTACGCGGAAATCTCAAAGAATCGTCGTTGTGGAGACGTGTGAGAATGTTTATGGTGGCGTTCAGCTATCAAAGCACTAAATCTACGCTGTCATGCAACGGAACACGGTGCGATTTGACGCAACATACATGGCGGCGCATCGGTGGCGGTAGTGTAGAGTGGAGGTTACGCTGGTCGTGTAAAGATCGTATCTCCATGCATTTTACGTTCCGTGACCCCGCCGAGAACGGCACTGCGGAGAGAAATACGCTTTATCGCCATCGCGACGTGGCGATGGTAAGTGGTTTTTCTCACAATCGTCCATTAATGGCGTAGATTGTACTATTCATACAAGTGGAAACTCTGAGATTACCTTGAACTTGAATTATGGTCGAGTAACTGCGATCGCATCTAAGTGCGGAACATAGTCCATTGGAAGGCCAGTTTTATTATGGAGCAACCAAATTTTGAAAAAAAAAACCCTATCTATCCTCCAACTCAGTATACGCCATGCTATAGTCCTCCTGATGAATCGCAGACGCGGTTGAAAAAGGTGTTGAATGAACTGTATAACCTTTCCAGTTCAGCCCATGGGTACAGTAAGAGGCTGTAGAGGTAAACAGCCACTGTTTACTGATCCATCTACAGACCCGCCACGCACTCGACTTTCGTTCAGGCATCCGAAGATGTCGTTGAATGTGTCATGGTGATCTATAGAGAACAACGATGTGTGCTTAGGTCAGAGTGTCATCTTCTCAAATGCTGGTGCCAGTTAATTGACCCCGTCGAAAGGAGTCCTCGCGTGGTTTAAGAAAGGTTTCCGTTTCTATTTTGTGGATCTCGGGTAGGGTCGCGACGTCTCCCGATACCCCTTAGGCTTGTCTTCCTTAGCTACTATGTCTTAAAATTACTGTAACAACCATCTCTTCACGGCCAACCAGTTTTTTGCATGCGTTTGTAGCGCGGTTACTCCACAGGATCCATTGCTGAGGTTTTCTAGACGCTCATAAACGCCGGACTGGACTGTATGCTGGACTGTATGCTTAACAAGAACCGGGGTGTTATTGGATGATGACGATACTACTTGAATATGCCGCGGGACCGGTGTAACCGATGCAGCGAGGTGTCATGAATTATGCGGTGAGCTATCGTTTCCCCAAATATAGCCACTGGTTGACTGTCGGGGAAACTGACCACCCGCTCCGTTGACAGCTGCAAACATCGGCGCTGTAATTCGTCTTCTAGCGCCTTTTTGTGTATGCTGAATGTTCCAAGGCCTATAGGAAAAAGAACTTGAGCGGATGTAGATGTCTACTGTTCAAGTGGGAAGTGAAATAAGGTTGTTAGGTATAGGAAGAGTTATTTAGAGGTTTTACAGGAAATTGAGCAAGATTAAGGAGGCGGAAGGTCATTACATTCAACAGCCCTTCTTCCACGACCTATCGTTGACCCCATCCATCGTGAATATAACACCTGCTGCAGCTCATCTCGTGCATAAGGAACTGGGTAACTGGCTGGGCTGACTTTTTTTGCTGTCTTGCCGGCTGGGAATCAAGCGCGGTCGAATCGCGTTACGTGTGAATACGTCGCTAATGTCCGGCGGACGACACGAAGAGGCATTATGGCTGGAGCATCGTCGTTGTCCGTAAGGTCCCTCGGGGGATTTGTATGGCCATAATTTTGTTCGTCGTCGAGCTTTGCTAGATGTCAGTACATGATGGTCACTAATCGATCTGCTTTTCAGAAGGCACAACCTCTCCTGGGACCTCCTGCAACGGGGAATGGGGGAATGAGCGCCGACGAAGAGCTGTGGAATGACGTCCCATGTTTGGCGCTCGAGAGGGCCATGAATAAGGGAGTGACTGCAGGAATGCTAATTTAGAATTGATCTCGAGTATCCTAGAGCCACTAGGCTTGTTGTTAACGTTCCTAGAAGGGTCTGGGGCTGCAGCATTGAAGGAGTAGGAGAATTTTCTTCATTAACAGTTCAGAAGGTGTCAGATTAGTCAGTTACATAGCAGAAACCATAGAATCAGAGCAATACTTTTTCCTATCTGCTGGCATTGTGCCAATCTTTTGGACGTCTTTCGTACCTCTCGATGTGCATCCATCGGAGTGCAAAACAAAGGCCGCGATTGTATGGAGGATTTTTTCGTCGAACGTTCCCGTCTTGAGTCGGAAAAACTTACGACAAAGAGGAACCCATTTCCATCAGATTCGAATTTACACAGAAATGAGTCTCGTTAGGGAATCAATGCAGGTCCTCAAAGATGGCGATTCGATCATGGACAAATTTTGGCGGTTGCAGGTTTTTCAAGAGCTTAAACGGAGGAGAAAGTTGACGAAGAGTCCTTCAATGGCTGACGGCTGTCAGTCTGTTTCAATGGTGGCAGAGGTGTTGAAGATTAATAGGGATTGATAGAAATGCAAGTAGCCAAGTCTGGATTTTTATGGGAAGCACAGGGATTGGAATAGGAATCGCTCTGCCGTTTTGGGAGCATGGTAGTTGAGCTAGAAGCTACCACTTTTATTTGGAGCTTTTTCGAATTCTCAAAGTAGGTGTTCTTTCCAAAAGGGAGAATTTCTGTAGAGAGCCCTTGATGTGCTGGACACTTGAAATCTTTTCAAAACCATAATCAGATTGAAAATGGATCAACGAAGAAAAGATAAAAAGAATTAGATCTGCAGAAAAAAGTCTTTCGGCTGAAGAAATCACTACACGTTCTCGACGTAGTTTCTAGAGAGCGGAATCATTTTGTTTTGGAAGAAAAAATCGGCTTCATCATCTCCTTCCTCTCTTTTTACTGGTTATGGTAATGGAATTCTCGAATGGGAATTGGAACGAATATTGGGAATGGAATCGTGGGAGCCTATTATAAAGGAAAATCGTTGTAGAGTAAGAACAACTCTTCAAGTGATGCCAAAATAACATTTGTTTACATGGATGGGCTTTGGAATTTTGTCGACTAATTTTGTCTTGCTTTTAGAAATTTTATTTTTTATTTTCTCTTTCAAGTGGATTGAGTAGGATTTCGGTATAGGTGGAACTTTGGCAGAAGTTCTTGGATTTCTAAAAGTTAATCTAGCAGAGCAATTGCAAAAATTCTTTAAGATTCTACACTCCCATAGGAAGTATTGGTGAATTGCAATCTATGAGTTTCTCCACAGCATTATGTTCTTGAGTGGGTCTAGTTCAGTGTAGAACCCAAAGCTATTTGGAAAATAACTGTCAAATTGACCTATTTCGTTCCCTACTTACCATTTACCGTTCATTTCACATACTTGACAAAACAACAATCTGCGAACCTCTACGGGGCACTCTTCAACGTCCCGGAACTTTGACCATAACACACCACCGTTCACCCGATTTTCTGACCGCATATGGGAAAGTGTCGTGTCCGGCTGGCCGAATTGCGGGTGTGGTTGAGGTGTTCAATGTGCGCATGTAATTTGCATTGGCTACAAGATGCTCGGGCCGCGGCCACTTCTTTCGGAACACTTTCACTATCCTGAACGATCTCAGTTCAGAATGATTTTAATGGGGGAAACCCCTTAGCAAACAGCTCAACAGTAAAGCGATGCCGACATGGCGTAGAACGTGATAAACGTATGGGGAAATACGGTAGTCGTACGATACTATCGCTTTAATGGCTTTGGTTCGCCTCCAGTCGATCTTAAATTGAACGACACCAGTGGTAGCTCTCTGCCGAGGCATGTAAGGGACCGCCAACGAACCATTGGTGTAACCTTTTCGGTGATAAGAGTGTTATAGGGCCTTTTCGGGCTGACCTCAAGGAGCCTCCCAAAGACTCTGATAATGGGAACTGCTGGAGAATATTTATTGAATTGCCGTTGCTGGGAAACCTTTATTGAATTATTGCAATAGCAATAGTAATAAGCTGAACCCGAAATCCATAAGGATTAGTGTATGACGAGGGCATTTCCATTTCAGCCACTTGACGGAGAGGCTTAACGAATTCCTAGTTGACTCCGGGAGAGTATTGCCATCAAAGTGCGGAGGCTCATATTTGATCCTCTGAAATTTCAAACGAATGCGAATGTGTGGAAACTGAGG